TGGTAGTGACAACAATATGGTCAAGGTCTGTTTTTCACAGTTCGGTTCACACTTATTTCAGGGCTGGGGGAAAATGTGTTCTTGAAATAAATCTGAACTCATTCAGAGATTGTGAGCATGAGATCTTAATGGAGATTCTTTTCTTTTGAAATTGTGAGCCTCATTCAGAGTCCAGCCTCCCTGTCTGCCTGCCTGAGATCCTCTAGCAAACTGGAGGTGGATGCTTATTCTCTTTGGCTTTTCCCAAGACCAACTTCCAAACATCCTCCCACCTGCCCTGTTGGCTGGAGTACTAGATCCTGATTAAGTCATTGCACATTCAGGCTGTCTCCTTTGGTGACAGAGCCATGCCTGGGGAGATTGCGGCGCCTATGACACAGTCGTGTTCCTGAGGCCCCATCCCTGGGACTTAGGCTGCTCTGCTCCTGGCACTCAGCCCCTACTGTGAGCTTATGGGCTTTGTTCTGATGGTTTTCACATGAACAGAGGAGTGATCCAATGACATCACTGTCCTCGTTAAAGCATTAGCAAAGCTTAGGGATTGTCCCTAGATCATGAACTCCATCGGGGTGTAGGGACAGCAGCTAAATTCATGTTACTTCAAGTACTAACTACCTTGGACAAATTAAAAAGGCCAAGATTAGAACAGGTGTTCTAACTCTGTTGACCTTGTTCATGGGGAGAAGTGAGCCCCTGGCCGCTGATTCCTTTATTTGGCTACAGCCCTCGAATTTGCTGATTCCCTTAGGCCATTGTGCTTTGCTGAGGCCCTGTGGGGTGTCCTGTCCTAGGTGATGTGGGCCAGTAGAGTCCACTTGAAAACTATCTCTAGCAATATCTGCAAGATTAATCTTACCTACATGTGAGAGATAATCCCTAGTCACCTTCAGAAATTCCTCCTCTCTGCTCTTTCTCATGCCCTTCCCCAGGCTGTGCCCTGAGATCTAGCATCATGAGCATTTAGCTCAAATGTGCCATGCCTCATCAGCTTGTAGAGACAAATAATAGAAATATTGATATTTAAATATTCTTGCTCTTGCCCTTGTAAAGCTAATCTCTGTTCCGCTTCCCTCTCCTGCTCCATAGCCCTTGAAGTTTGAGGTGTTCACATATGCAACCAAACAGTTACCACCCGAGCCCTGTCCTATCAGCCCCTCTTTATCTGTCCTCTATTGTGAACCCATTTGAAAGGGACTCCATGCTGAGAAGTTGCCTGTGCCAGGAGTGCTGATGTTCAAGGATGCCCACATTTCTGCTCTCTGAGGTACTAGGAGTGATGGGCTCTAAGCCCTCTTTCAGCTCATGCCTCTGATCCTTCCCCACATGGGACTCACAGCCAACCGAGCATCACTTACCCTGGAGCAGATAGCATTCCACCCTGTTTTCAGATAGTCCCAGATAAATTAAATAAAACAAGCAACATTAACAAGAACTCTCCTCTTTCCATCTAAAAGCATGGCATCCTCCCGAATCTTAATTTATGTTAATAGATACTGAAATGGTCACCAGTCCCTCAGTTCTAGAAACAGCCCAAATAAGATCCCACCAGGTTGGCTAGGACAGCTTGTTACCAACAACCGCCCACTGTACAGGGCAGAGATGTCTGACTGCTTAAAAAGGCTCAGCAAGCCTGCTCTTCTCTCTGGGTGTTTGTTACCGATCGGATTAGGTCCCTCTAACACTCATATTGAAGCCCTAACCTCCAATGTGACTGTGTTTAGAGATAGGGGCTTTAAGGAGATTATTAAGGTTAAATGAGGTCTTAAGAGTGGGACTCTAATCTGACAGGATGGGTGTCCTCATTAGAAGAGGAAGAGACACCAGAGGTCTCTCTCTCCTTGCTGCCACACAGAAGAAAGCCATGTGAGGATGCCTTAAGAAGGCAGCTGGCTACAAGCCAGGAAGAGGGGCCCCACCAGACACTGATGCTGCTGGCATCTTGATCTTGGACTTGCAGCCTCCAGAACTGTGAGAAAATCAGTTTCTGTTGTCTAAGCTGCCCAGTCTATGGTATGTTGTCATGGCCGCCTGAGCTGACCAAGACAGATCCAATCCTTAGCTGTCCACGTATGGTAGCAAGAGGTAGAGGGCCCTCGTTGCAGGCCTGTGGACTTTCTCACACAGGAGTTGTAGTAACAGGAGTGAAGGACTAACAACCCCCTGTGCTTATACAGTGACTGTCTCTTCCTAATGACTTTCATGCATACTGCATTTGGTCCTCGTAATACCTTTGTGACTCTTTGCAGGAGTCAGGGCATTTTACTGCCATTTTACAGCTGATGAAACTGAGATATTAAAAAGGCTATGTCATTGATGTAATTTGTCTGAAATCATGCCGAGAGTTTGTACTCTAGGACTATTGAAATACTAATCCAGTATACTTTTCACTATGCAAGAGTATCTGCAAGTGGATTAAGCCAAAGCACCTATTTTGGGCTGGCAAAACTTAAGTTCTCTTTGTGTTTTTCAGCATCTATTTGATGGCAATGTGGCCCCAAGTCAATACATAGAATATTGGGTGAGAAGCTATGACAGAGCTTGGTGGGGTCATTTTCTGATACAGGGACAAGATAATAACAGCAGGAAATGGCAACAATGACACCAACAGAAGAAGCCCGTGGCAACCAAATGGAGGACAAAACTGAAAGTGAGGAAGGCTGAGCCCCTGGGGTGAGCTCTGTGACCCCATCTCACATGCCTGCCTGACTGCATTAGACTGCTCAGGAGCATGTCTGCATGGCGTGTCTGTTATGATGACTTTGGCTTTTCATTTTGTGATTTTTCCTAAGAGGGAACTGGAGGTGACATCCTTTAAGGCCTGATGGTCTGTCCAAAAGTGTGTGTTCTTTTCGGCCTCCCCAGTGTGCCTGCCTCTGGCTCGGCACAGGACCACCTATGCTCTCTTCTTAGACTCCCTAAACCCTTTGCATAACTAGGATGCTCTCCTCCCCACATCCCTGACAGCAGGGGGACACCTCTGGGTGCACCTCGTTTTCAAAACAGCTTTGACACAGGTGGCCAGAGCTGCGAAGTGTAGTACTCCAAATTCACTCCAGCCTCTTCTACATCTTGAGAAGGAAAACTCCCAAGTTTCCTTTCATTTCAGGGCTTGTTTCCATCTTAATACAGTGGTTGAAGTCAGAAACTCGGGGGCCCAACGGCTCTGCCACTTACTGGGTTGTGTGACCTTGGGCATGTTACTTAAGAATTTTCCTGATCTGTAAGATGAGAATAAAAGTAGTACCTCCTCTTAGGGTTGATGTAATTATTACATGGGCTAATATATATAAAGTGCCTAGAACAGGGCCTGGTGTGTGTTCAGTGCTATATAAGGTTTAGCTATTATTATTATCACCATCGGTATTATTCATCCAGTAGTTATCACTGACTGGAGTCTTGCTTCATGTAGAACGTTTTCTTTTACAACTAATTCTCCTACATGCATTAGTCAATACGATGCACTGGGACGATTTTCAAGTTTATACTCTTACTCTTGGTCCTTTCAGTTTTATTTTGTTACCTGCTTCTTAGCTACTCCTCAATTTATATAATTTTTTAAAAAATCACTCCATTTATATTTTTTCCTCCCATATTATTTTCAAAATACCAAGTTGACAAGATTTATTCCAGTGACAACCCCATTATCTCTAGTTCTCTTTGGAACTCCTATTGCAGTTCATATACATTGCACACACATCACTGCCTAACTACACTAACGTCCTCAGGGCCAAGGTTTATGTCTTATACCTTTTCTGAGTCCTGCACGATGCTTTGCAAGCAGTAAATTTTCAGAAATTAAATGGGGATTGATTTGTTCCCATCCCATTTGTCCATTCCATTCTTATGTCTAAAATGTTTATCTCTCACAATTGCCAAGTCAATTCTACTAACACTTAATATATTTAATATCCACTGATACTAAAACCCGCCCACAGAGAGATGTGCGCATCATACTACTTTATCATTAGAGGGGATTGCAGCTATAGCTAAGCTCCTCTCGCCTTTCAGTTTGGCCACCAGCATTCCCCTCCCTCAAATAGCAGGCAAGCTTCTTGAGAGCCAGAACCTTGTGGGGCTTGTGTGCTGATGTGTCTCTGCTACTTAGAATGGTGGGGTGTGAGACGTTGTTAGCTGGCTCTCTCAGCCGCTGCTCCTGCTTCCTTGCCAACTTAACCCTGATTTTGTTTCGTATTGTGTCACCATGTGCTTCAGAAAAGGCTAGGCCCTCACAGTGGCCCAGAGGATGTACTGTAATCATTCTATGTGAATCCTAGGCTTTTCCTACTTTTGTTGCTAATGATTGGTTTAGGAATGAGCATGTTCTATACTTTTGCAACAGTCGTCCTTGTTCCTAGAGAAAAGCAATGCGATCCCTGGATTTGTGGCAGCTATCTTGGCATCGTGAGGGGAGCCAGCTCAAGATGACAAGCTAACACCCTGATGATGGCAGAGTAGGAAGGAGAGAGACTCTGGGGCCTTGACAACATTGTTGACCTACTACTGATAAACCAAACTTGGAACAACCCTGTCCACAGACTTCTTATGTGAGGTAACACATTTCCATAGTTGTTTAAGTCACTTTGGGTTTTTTTTTTGGTGAGGAAGATTGGCCTTGAGCCAGTCTGTTGCCAATCCTCCTCTTTTTGCCTGAGGAAGTTTGTCGCTGAGCTAACATCTGTGCCAATCTTCCTCTATTTTGTATGTGGGAAGCTGCCACAGCACGGCTTGATAAGCAGTCTGTAGGTCCACACTCAGGATCCAAATCCACAAACCCTGGGCCGCCTAAGTGGAGCATGTGAACTTAACCACTATGCCACAGGGCCGGCCTCTGTTTAAGCCACTTTTAATTGGGTCTTCATTTTCCATAACTGAAAGCATCCTGACACAGGAGGCATGCCATAAATATTTGTTAACTTACTGACTGTCATATTTGGTCACCTAAAGCCCTAGATATTGACTAGGAAGTGCAGCAGATTTGGTCAGGAATAAGACAAGATTACTTAAGCAATCCAGAAAAACAGTGTTTTTAATCTCGTTTTAGGCCTTGACTTTGGTGGTGAGGTTGATGGGTGAGGAGATTCTGAACCTTGGAAAATCATATTAAAAGAAAATTTCCAATAACTTTCTATTGCCATTTTTTAGTTGAATTACAGATTTAAATTGGCCAGTGCTCAAAATCCTGCACTTACCAGGGTGGCCCTGGAGGGTAAGCTTTGGCTCTGGCAAGTGCTGTGGCAGGATGTGGAGCCATGCACCTGAGCTGCTGAGGTGCCAGTCTCTGGGAGAGGGATGTTGAGACTCCTGGTGACCTCCAGGGCTGCCACCAATGGAACTATGTGGCAGGTACCATTCGTGGGGACAGTGTTTCATCATTCGCTTTGGGGACCAATTGTAGCCCAGATAAACATCCCATTTTTATTCTCTTTCCGCATAGTCTGGTGTTCTATACCTGCCTGTGTAACCTGTACGAGTTTGGAGAACCACAGCACTGTCCCATGAAGGCAACAGGATCTGGCAAAAGGCAGAGCGTTTGCTTCGATCTGCTCTGGTCTAGTCAACAGAGGGACTTTCGGTGATTGGTCAGTGTGAAGCTTTGCTTCCTCTCCTGGAATATTGTGGTAACCTTCCATCCATTCAACTCTAGTTTGGCCTCTGTCCAGCTCATACGCTACGTCGGTACACAGAGCTGACTGTGTCGCTTCTCTGCTTCCAATCCTTTAATGGCTCCCCATCATCTATGGACACATGTAAGCTCCTTAGGCTGTCAAGTGAGGCCTGGCTTCCTCTGGATTCTTCATTCTTCTCCAGTCTCTTTTTTCCCTCTCATCCCCCATAGAGAAAAATCTGCCTGTGTCAAACTACCTGGAGTTTCTAGAACACGGCGCCTTCCTAATACCTCCTCAATGCCTTTCCCGATGCTCTCTCCTCTGGAATGTGTTCTCCACCTTGCACGCCATGTACGCTTCACCTCCTTTATTGAGACACATCTCTGATGTACTCTGAGAAGACTTCCCTGATCCCCTCCTGCAGAATTACAGTCCATCTTTCCTCTGCTCGTCGTTCTTCTAATCACCAGGTCACACTGATCACCCTGTTGGGTGATGGTTTCTTTGTCTCTCACCACCACTGCCTTCTGAGCATCTTGTGTCACGTCTTAGTCCTGCCCATCTTTGTATCACTGGTGTCCAGCCCAGGGCTTAGCACACACCAAGTGCACACTAGTCACTTTTTGGTTTGAAGTGGAGGAAATGAAATTGAAGGAAGAGCAGGAATGAAGCCGCTGCAGCAATTTCTGATGCAGACAGACTCTTCTCTTGGTTGGGATCCTGGGAACCCAGAGAACGAACCAAACATTAACTCCTTTGCAGGTTAGTGCTTAGGAGTAAACACTAAACAGAGAAAGAGGATTTGGGAGACTGAGGCAGCAGGTACATAGGTGCGCTGCTGACTGACCCCAAATACCCCAAAGCCCTGTCACTCTCCCATTCTTTGTCCTGCCATTTGGACCATCAAAATATGTTCTCAAGCTAACAGTTACTCATTAAACCTTAAATAGTTTAATTATTTTCACTTCATCCTCTTTTTACTTCAGAATTTAGAGACTGACCTATGGGGCAATGGAATCGCACAATCTCCTAAGAATTCGAAGTCCTCGAGTGCTTGTGAGGCTAGAACATTTGCTATTATTTGCTTAAGGTTTCCTCCATCCCCATTCGGGAAATTCCCATCTGCTTCTGATATCTTTCCCCACCTTCCTTTGTGAACTAAAGGGCAAAGTTTTAACTCAATAACTTTAGCAATATCTACCTCCCCTGTTATAAATAAATCTTTTTCTGCTTTCCTTTGGGAACTCCTTATCTCCTTTGGTCACCTATCATTCGATACACGCTCCTGTTCTTTCGGGAACTTTCTCAGGAATGTCATTTGGGTTTTTCTTAGACAGAGAGACGCACCTGGAGTTTGGAGAGGTGGTCCCCCAAGGATGCTGTATATCCAATCCTTTCCCAGTATTTTTTTCCGACGGGTACACAGGATTTTCCTCGCTCCTCCACTGCCGTTGTAAGAGGAAAACTGGCCATCCCTTTGTGGGGAAGGGAAAACACTCAGTTGCTGAGAAACTTGAACGAGATTCATTTGTTTGTATTCCTCTCTTCATGGCAACCAATCGTGTTCACTTCTGCAGTTTCTGTAAGCTGGATAAGCTGAGGTCCCTTACAGTAACTTTCTTCTCCTAATCTGTAGGTTTTTAGGAAAGTAGACATTCCTCTTTGCTTGGTTACCATTCCTGAACTCAGAAAGTATCAGTAGAAAGATGATATTTTACATAGAAGCATTTGCATTAGTGCCTAATGAAAGAATGCCACAGCTAATAGAAGAACAGAGAGGGGACAGGTACTGAATGCTTCAGCTGCATGGGATGGCTGGCTGTCTCTGAAAGGCCTGTGCACATTTACAGCTCGCCTGGTGTGGATACAGTTAAAAAGCTCTATGGAATGCCCAGGAACCCTGTGTCCTTCAGCAGTTTGACATCTTTAGGAAAGCTACACCCACACACTTCAGTGTCTTTACTGTTTTACAAAAGAGTTTTACCAGTTTCCTTGGGTGAGTTGGTTTCCAGATAGTAGAAAAAAAAAAAAAAGAAAGAATGAAGGAAATGGAAATGATGAACGGTTGTCATGTGCTTTAGCTCCCAAGCATGAAATTGGGGCTCAAGCCAGAGGAGTGAGTTTTCTTTGGGTCCAGGCCAGCAAAATGAAACCCCAAGAACCCAGCCTTTGGATATGTCATTATCTAACAAGCCAAAGGAAATGGATGACATGATGCTGACTAAATGAGATGAATTTTGGTCTATAATTTATGTGAACATCAACTAACAGTTAAAATACCGATTAATATCAGTTTCACATTGTCCAGTCATGTGGACAATGCGAACGGAGACACGATGACACAGATCCTGTGCAGTAACAAGGAGTTTGGTCTAGATACCCTGGCGATGATCATTAATTTTGCCATGTTTTGATTTAGTGTTTGTGTTAATGTATTCTAGTATGTCTGAGAATATGAAAGTAACACCTGGTGTGCTCTGCGCAAATGCTTCTCTGCTTCGGGAGGAAAGCCGAAGGGGACACACAGCTGAACCCAGAGCATCATTATAAATAGGCTCCAGGGAGAAAACTCCTCAGATTTCCAAGAATAAAGCAAAAGTCAGAGAAAATGTACCAGTATATGAGCCTTTCTTGTATGTAAGCCATACCTTTAAGGAACCATTATGCTCAGAAGTTTGTTTTGGGGCAGTTTGTAAACCAAGCCAGGTTTTCCTTGCATAGCTTTGTTTGCATTCAAATACCCTTAAAACACACACACATACACATAGTTCGTCAGCAGAGGCATTGAGGCCAATTAAAATAATGCTCATGTTCAGAGGCTGAATTTTGCTGATATCTCAAGAATGTCAAAAGGTGGATAGTCCTTCTAGAATTATGCCGGCCGGAGCTGGGCACACCGCACAGTGGACTAGATAAGTGCCCTCGTGAAGGCGAAGCTGTCGGCTTCATATCCTTGAAGCAATTGCCACGCTCCCGGTGCGTCTGAGATCGGCATTCCCTTCCTTTTGTGTAATTGAGAGCTGACAACTCGCACGTTCAGCTTATTGTATAAAGAGTCTCTAAGAAGAACAGGCAAGGCAAGAAGTGGCTTTTTCCTTGGAAGACCTAAGAACACAGCATCCTCATAGTGAGAAAAGCTGCTAGAATACTTTAAATTTATGATATTTCCTTGATCTGCCTCAAACCTAATAAAGGAAGATAAATTGACTTTTTTGGATTTTCTTGTACAAAAGTATCCAAAATCCACTTCATCCTTTTATTCCTTTTTTCCTTTTTTTTTAAATTTTAGCAGCTCAGTTTCATTCAAGTCTAGCTTGCCCCTGCCACCCCTGTTAGAATTCGTCAACGATGGGAAGATCAGTAATCACATTGTACCATTTTCATTGCTATACTCATCTCACAAACCTATTGGCAATTCTCGTGGACATTTCTAAGATGTAATATGAGGAAGAGAGAATCACCATTTTTTACCCCAATGTCTAGAAGGGCAAAATGGTTCCCTGTTTGCCACATTCCCAGGGTGAGGAGGTCCTGCTAGCAATCTCTGCCTTCACTTGGAAATGAAAGGTGACAATATGCAACCCATGAATTCAATATACATTGAAAATACATTCCCTGCTCAACAAGGGTGCTGAGTATTCAGCTGGAGTTCTCAGGTGCAGTAGGAAAATGCAGTGGTCTGTTGAGCTCACATTCTGGCTGATTAATACACTGCTAAATGCTCCTTGGAGCTCTGCCAGGAGAAATATAAACAGCAAAAGAACTTACTCTATAAGTGTCTGTCTTTTTGCCAAATCGTACAAGGAAAATGTGTTCAAGGAAAAAAAAATGATAGGAGGATGTGTTTTTATTACATGTATGCTCATCAGATCCTAGCTCTGTAAAACCCATTAAAAACAACACGAAGTATTTAAAATCAGCAGCAATCACCTTGGTTGGTTACTGATTTACAAGATTAAAAACATTCTGAACTGAAGATGAAGGTGCATTAATAAACACGGTTTCTGAAAGAATCCTTGGTGATTACTTGCTGGTCTGATCGGTGAGGGGGCTCAACATCTCAAGGAAAGATGTCAGCACGTAAGTGAGGAGGAGGCGTTGATTCACAACAACGCCCCTGGGAAGTGGGGAGGGCTGCTTAGTAGTCATTGGACAGAGCCCTAAAGCCATCGGTATTTTTTTTAAAGTCTCTGGCATGCATTGGTCCAGTGGCAGGACAAGTTTTCAAGCTAAATGTGCATCATGAGGGCCTTCTCAGAGCCAGGGAAAACATTCCCTTTGTTCCACGCCTGTTTGCTTTTGTCGCTCATAGCTCCTCGGACACAAGAATGTCCTAGCGCCAACGTGGAATGGAATCACCATCATCGTCACTGCCAGTGCTTATTCTGTGCCAGGCTCCATTTCCGAGTGTTTACGATATGAACACCTTTAATCTTCCCAACAACCTTATCAGTAGATACTGTCATTATCCCCATTAGAAAGGTAGAAACTGAGGCTTCAAGAGGTTCTTTCAGAGGAAGAAGTTCTAACAGCCACTCGATAGTGGAGACCAGACCCAAACCCAGCTGGTCAGTTTTCAGTACCAGACCAGCATCCTGAGAGCCAAGGGTAGTACCTAATGCTATTTTAACATATCAAGGACTTATCCTTTGGGGAACTCAGCTTGAAATGATCTCCTGTTGTTTGTCCTCTTCCAAAATGTATAATTTGGGAGGAAATAATCTCAAACCAATATAAACTTTGTTGATCTGTGTTGTAAGTGAAATAATAATAAATATACATAAAAATGGAATAAGGAAAATGGAAGATGGCAGGTTGTGGTCAGTTTCAAAGAAGAGATGCTTGAGTATATACATGTTTATGTGTATGAAGCTCCCCAGGGCCTCAGGGTCAGCAGATGTCTAAATGTTCCATTTTGGGATATGACTGGAGGGTAGAACAAGTTGAGAGAACCACGAAGTCAGGAATACAACTAATGAAGGCTGTGTTTTCCTCCATTTTTATGCCACAGCATGCCTGCAGGGTAAGGTGCCTTCTCTTCAGTGAGTCCACTACGGCCACGGCTATTCTCCACCGTGGTGCGTGGTGGCGGGGAAAGTTTACTTGAAAAAACTTCCATAGGCTCAATGCCTGTGCTCACTGCCTCTTGCCACTGAATAATCCTTGGAGTTTTAAGGGTTACAAACCATGTTAACTCTTTATAATGCTTTGAGGCCACTGCACTTTAGGCAGGCCTGCTGAGCCGAGGGGAGAAGGTACGGGCTTTTCAGTGAGAATGGCCTGAAGAGGACAAGCTCAGGGCACCCCCAGGACTGCTGTTCCACTCTTTGACTTCATGTTGCTCTCACGTTCCAAATACCACCTGAACGTTTGCAAGCCAATTTTATAAGAAAGCATTAGACTTTCCTTTGTGTTTTTGTTTTATTTTAGTTTGGCTTTCTAAGTAGGTAGATTTCCAAGGCCAGATGAGAGAAGGACAAATTGCCAGGCAAAGAAAAACTGCTTTATCAAGTGAGGCCCTCTGTCTTTGAGGCAGTGAGGCATCCTGGTAACCCCACGCTAAGCCTTCCATGAAACCTCCTTGTTGCTGTGCCCCAATGTCTCAGGTGGTCCCTTCAGAGGCCACTTCCTGTCCCCATTACAACACCTTTCACTCATGCTTTGGGTCTGCATTCTTTCCTGTAGCTTCACACCTGGACCTGCCTTTACCAGCCACTGTAGACTGATGCCTCTTCTGACGGGTTCAGCTGGCTTCAGTTGCAGCTTTGTCCTGGAGGCTGTCTCTGGACCAGTCTTGATGCCCCCTTCCAAAGCCATGCTGCCCACTGAGCCCAGGCCTTGAGATCCCAGCCCAGCAACTCTGGGAGGGAAGTTGGAAAAATGCACATCAAGGTCAGGTTTCATTTTTTTTTTTTTTTTTTTGCGTGAACCAAGACTTCAGCATTTATCAGCAGGAATAAGCTGCTGGAAATCATCCTGGAATCATTGATAAAAGACCAGGGCATTGTTACAAAGCTATGTTTTGGCTTTTAGTGGCCTCCTCCCTTCACTTACTAGCTCACTGGACACCCCTTTTGTTGGGTGATTTCCTGATTTTCTCCCTCTTCTGGTGTCAGTTACACATCTCATTCAGCTCAACACTTGGTCTTTCCTCCCTGCACACGCCAGCAATAGCAGAGAACAACCAAATCATCTTACAATGGTCTTCTCCAAACCTCAAACCAATACTAATGTTCTATCCAAAGGAAAGAACTTCTCTAAAATTGAGGGGCCAGTAAAAATATTCTGTTATATAAACTGATTACATTTTAAATTTTCGTTTCAAATAAGTTCAGCCGAACAGGTATGAAGGTGTCCTGGAGCATGGGGATCCATTCTCGTGCAGCTAGTGTCAGGTCAGACCCTGGTGTTCTGTTGGGGAATGATTTGGGTGGCACGGTTATGGAGCAAATTAACAGGAGATAAGCTGCTTCTACTATTAGTAGGTGATGGCAATGACCATG